CATTCCTGTATCCAGTGTCAGTGCAAAGGATGGAGGTCGTGCTGTATTTCGTTTGGCTCGTGAACCCTAATTATTTCTCATGTTGTTCTTGGCTAATGCTAAAGGCACATATTAATTTGTGGCTTTCCAAAATCTGCTGCTGCCCTCGGGACGAAGGTTCTTCTTACTGTTAGGATAGTGCTTTGCCGTGCACGAGACCAGAAAGAATATTGCAAGCTAAAAATTCCTGCCTTTGCTCCCAGATTACAACAGCCCAGGGCAGCATCTGCCCCCTGTGCAGAGCAGGTGATGAGATGGGAACCTGCCCCGTTTGAAGCCACAGCACTGGACTGGTCAGCACCACAAACTGAAGTCGCTGCCTTTGTTTTCTTCCAGCACTGGGATGTGTTTCGGACGATTACAGAAGTTTTTATCCTGGTTCCTGCCTTGGTTGGCCTGAAGGGTAATCTTGAGATGACACTGGCGTCCAGGCTCTCCACTGCCGTGAGTGTTAACGCCGTGCTGCTGTGTGTGTGGGGAGGGTGGCGATGAGCAGGAGACATCAGGAGATTCTCCTTTTACATAATGGCACTGTGTGTATGAGACGTGCCCTTTTCTGCTAAGCAGAAACTAGTGGGATGTGAGTGTTAAAATAATGTATCTGCCCTCATTTTATAACTGGAACAGAGAATTTCCATCTGCGCTTTGAAGGTGAATTAATCCCTGGGTGGCTGGTTGCTGATATCTGGGGCCCTGTGACACATGAAGGAGACAAAGCCAGGGCTGCCCAGCTGTCAGCTGCACCACTGGATTGCTTTTCTGTGGGTACTGATCCTTGAGAGACCCAGGGCTTCCCAGCAATCCCACCTTGGAGGGAATAGACCCAGGCTTCTTGGCACCTGCAGTAGCTTTTGTTGCTCTGGATTTGATCTCTCCTGTTGCCCTAAGCAGCTCTGTTTACTTTGGGCTGTTTGTAATGCACGTCTCAGGAGAAACTGGAGCTTAACAGAGCAATTTAAGGGGAGTGAAAGCAGAAAAACAGTTTAATTTCTTCAGCTTTTGGTCTACGCGGGATGTGGTAGATGTGCCCACTCCACCTTTAGCAGTGCCTCTCACCTCCATGTGAGCCTCTGATGGCCCTGGGATGTTGGGATGAAGCACAATGGAGATGTGTCAGGAAGGAAGTGCAGGGAAGGTGGGGAGATGCCGACCTGCGCTCGCTTCTCTCTGGCTTTAGCAACCCCTTTCCCAAAGGGACTGTGTGAAACTGCCTTTAGCAGCCACTCGTGCCACAGGAAGACGTTTTCAGGGTATCTCTCTTGGCTTCCAGGCTAACACCGGACAGATGGATGATGCCCAGAAACAATGGAAGATGGCCACCTGCAATTTAGCCCTTATCCAGGTGAGTCACTTCAGCTGGGAGAGAGAAAAGGCCTTTTTCACTTGCTGTGCTGCAGCCCAACAGCATCTGTTCCCAGCTCTGCTGGATCCAGAGCTGTTGATTTGGAGCAGGTATTCTCCAAGCCTAGGACTTGACCTCCAGTAAAGCTCTGTGTGTCCCCAGAGCTTGCAGTTCATCTTCAGAACACATCTAGACATTCGTTGCCTTTGTGGACAAACTGAAATAATGAAAAATAAACCCCCTCCTTTTGCAGGGGGAGCTGCAGCTCAGTCCTTGTTTCACAACAGCCCCTCGATAAAGCCAGTTGTTTACTGACAGTGTTTGGGAATCCGCCTTGGGCAGGAGGGGAGAGCTGGGAGAAATGGGCCTCTCATAGCTCTTTCTGCTTGTTAAAATCCAGCAACCAGCCTAGAGGTTGCACATGGCAAGGCCACAGAGCTTGCAACATGTGTCTGTGTGCTTTCCCTTATCTCCTTCCACAGCTTTCAGCTTGCTAGGAGCACTGTGTTGATGGGGAGCCCATTTTTGTGTTGTCCAGGGCTATTCCTTTGACTATGGACTTGGTGTCCTTTGCTGAAATGTTATCTGCCCTTTGCAGGCCTCCAGAGTTGTTCTCCAAACTTTATCAGGATTTTTTTCTGAATCTAGTGGAGCCTTACAGGGATGCTGCTGAAATACATAAGCACTCAGCATCATTGCAAGGCTTTGCCCTCCTGGCTGTGTGGAAACGCTGCGGTCCCATGGAGCCAGGCCTGGAGATGTGGATGATTGCTCACCAGCTGTCTTCTGCCTCCCAGGTTCAGGCCACTGTGGTGGGACTTCTGGCTGCTGTTGCTGCTGTGATCCTGGGAGCCATCTCCAAGGGCTCCGTGGAGCTGAGCCAGGCTGCCGTGCTGTGTGCCAGCAGCGTGACCACGGCCTTCGTAGCTGCACTTTCCCTTGGTGAGTCGTTCGGTTCCTCAGATCGAACGTGCAGGGCTTGGTTGCAGAAAAACCTGTCCCGTCTGCCATGGGGGGCCAGCAAACACCCCTTTGGTCTAACACAGGGAGGAGGGGATGCAGGGAGCATTGGTCCTGTGCCTGCTGCTTTCATCCTGCCTTTGCTTCTCTTCTCCCAGGATCTGTTGTTCACTGGGCTTTCAGCATCCACAGCAGCAGTCAAAATACTCCACTTCCCCTGACACATGAAAGATGCCACATGATGTGCATGGGTGTACACACACGTGTCCTGAGTGACACATTAGCCCTCCACACTGGCCCTTTCCTGATTAGTGAGCTAATACCATGCACAAAGCAGGATATTGCGAGCCTGTTGGCAGACAGCTCCAGACCACACTTGAGATGGGCTTGGGGCACCCAACGCCCTGCAGAGGATTGTGGCCAGCCCTGTGCCTGAAGACCAGCAGGTCCAGGGAGGTGATCATCCCCCTGTACTTGGCACTGGTGAGGCCGCACCTCGAGTGCTGTGTTCAGTTCTGGGCCCCTCACTATAAGAAGGATGTTGAGATTCTGGAGCGTGTTCAGAGAAGAGCCACAAGGATGGGGAGGGCTCTGGAGAACAAGCCTGATGAGGAGCGGCTGAGGGAACTGGGCTTGTTTAGCCTGGAGAAGAGAAGGCTGAGGGGAGACCTCATCACCACCTACAACTGCCTCAAGGGAGGTTGTGGAGAGGTGGGTGCTGGGCTCTTCTCCCAGGTGATGGGGGATAGAACAAGGGGAAACGGCACCAAGCTGTGCCAAGGGAGGTTCAGGTTAGAGCTAAGGAGGAAGTTCTTTCCTGAGAGGGTCGTCAGAAGCTGGCACAGGCTGCCCAGGGAGGTGGTGGAGTCACCATCCCTGGATGTGTTTAAAGAGCGGGTAGATGAGGTACTTAAGGATATGGTTTAGTGGGGAGACAGGAACGGTTGGACGTGATGATCTCAGCGGGCTTTTCCAACCGAGCGATTCTGTGATTCTGTGACCATCAGTTTGTAGGTCTGCCATATGAGGGCAGCATGAGACCCTGAATAGAGGGAGCTGGCAGTCGGATACAGCGAGTTTTCTAAATGAAAGGGACATGTTAGAGCAAGTGCATATCCTGAAGCTGGAGTCAAAGGGTGACTGTAGATGCCTTTGATAAAAAAACATGGGATGAGACAGTTGTTAAAAGAGGAAAACAGCAGCCCACCTTTCATTAAACTCTTCCCTTCAGTCTCCCTGCTCAGTGTGATACAGAGAGGCTTTCTGCTCACATTAGTTTCTTGCCTGGACATGGTCACAGGCAGCTGTGTGTGGGTGTGCACAATGAAAAGCTGCTGTTTTTGTGACCAGGGAGGGAAACGGCATGACCTGTGCTTTGGGGAGGGGAGTGTGGGTGTCTGGGAGGGCTTTTGCGGAGAATGCCACGTTGTGTGAGGATGCGCTTGTGTGTAAGGGATGTTGTGGCAGGGAAGGGGCACACACAGCGTTCCTAGGGGAGATCTGGTGATTCTGTGCATGCTCAGCTCTGGCAGCCCAGAACCAATGGGCACAGAGAGGTTGTGGGCTGGAGTGAATCACCGTTTCTCAGGCTTTCTTTGGTGCGTCCTGTCAGCCACAGAAGGACTGTGAAGAGATGTCACCTGTCTTGTCCCAAGTCTGCCCTTGGCAGTCACACAGCAGTGGAGGCTGGCAAGGCAAGGTTTATTCCAGGTGGCTTTTCCGCATGGCTGAGGGATTCCCACATGTTCATCAGGATCTGGGGGTTGTGCTTATTAGCTTACTTGGGAAAGCAAAACTTCCCTCCTCTGACAATCCTGAAAAGCAGCTGAATTTTCCAGGTGCAGCTCAGAGCACAGGGGAGGAGAGGTGATGTGGACCACCTCCATAACCTCTTGGCTGGAGCTGCTCGCAGCACCAGCATCCACCCAGTGCAAGGTAAAACAGCCCTAAAGACTCTGCGATGAGGAGTCAGTCTGATGGCCAGGCCAAAAGGCTCATTCAGGCTACTCTGAAGAAGCTCCTTGCTCCTTGGTGGTTCACACTCAGATAAATTTTAGTCTAACATGGAAAATATCTTTGTGCTGTGGAATCCAGAGCAGGGGATGGCACCAGAAGGCAGCCGCATGCCTGCTGCGTGCTTATCTGCGAGTGTGCTTCGTGCCTGGTCTTGCTTCAAGGCAGCAAAGATTAGGCTGCTCAGGAGGGGAGCTTCTACATTTGGGCCGCCTGCTGGTGTCTCCTTTGATCCCTGGAATTTGCCTGTGTGCCTCTGGGCCTCTGGTGCAGTTTATAAGGACAGTCATGCCCTTCAGGTTGGTGAAACCAAGAGGACAAATTCCCAGGGATGTCCAATCTCCAGCTGCATGGTACCACTCCAGGCAATCTGTGTCTTGCTTCTGCCAGACCCTGCATCCCTCTGGGAACCAGAAAAGCAGCTCTGGGGCGAAACAAAGCAGAGTGTGTTCTCTGATGCCTGTTCTCTGTGTCTTCTCCAGGTCTGGTGATGATTGGTGTGATCATCGGAGCAAGGAAGGTTGGGATCAATCCAGACAATGTCGCCACCCCCATAGCAGCGAGCCTTGGAGACCTGATAACCCTTTCCCTGCTGGCAGGAATCAGCAGTACGCTCTTCAAGTAC